AATGAGTGACTGAAATGTCCCTTACTCCCATCTTAATTATCACCATAGCATTATCAATAATCCATTCATTTCATTTTACTAATTTAATTGAGTTCTAAACAAAAGAATTACTTTGTCAATTGCTTGCAGAAAGACTTCACACTGTTGGACTAGAGACACTCCTGCTTTGGCTGACGACGGTCATGGATGGAGAAAATACGGACAAAAACGCATCCTTAATTCCAAGCACTCAAGGTAACATGCATACGATTTGGTCTACTTATAGCTCTCATAATTCCATATGGAAATATATAAATTCGAGTCTTCATTGGACTCAAATTAATAAAGTAATAACTTTTGAATAGTTGATGTTGACCTTGGTCATGTTATACGATGCAGGAATTACTATAGGTGCACTCACAAGTTCGAACAATCTTGCAAAGCAACCAAATACGTGCAACAAATTCAAGATCATCCACCAATGTTTCGGACCACATATCACGGCAACCACACATGCAGAGACTACCTAAAAGCTTCTGAGTTGCTCTTGGATTGTACAAGTCCTAGAGAGTCTTCAAATTTCATCAGATTTGGCGACACCAAACAAGATCACCCCTTTTTCTCATTCTTCACATCAGTTAGAAAAGAAGAATTGGTCTTCAAGGAAGAATCGATCATCAAGGAAGAGATACCACCAACAAGTGATGATCGTGTGATGACAAGCCACGACAACTATTCATGGTTGTGTGATTATTTTGTGTCACCCGATCTGACGACGTTCGAGTCCTCTGGGCCCCCGAGTGGGTTCTCATCAACCCTCGATGAGTTTGATCATGAGGATGTGATTTCTAGGTTAATGATGGGGTCTTTTGACTTGGATGAAGTTTTGCAATATATTTGAATTTTGATGCTGAGGTGTTTGCAATATATTTGTTCCTTGGAATAAGTTTGATGTAGGAATAATCGCTTGTTCAACTTCTGTTTGTAAACATTTATTCATCCAAAAATAGGAAGCAACCTTTTTGCTTCATTTTTTGCCAATTATGTAAGCTTGCACTTGAAGTATATCCATGATGTTTCTTGATCAAATATCTCTCTAAAATATAACTTACTTAAATCCCTTTTAATTAAGTTATATTTAAAGTGTAATCCAATTAAATTTCAATTTCATTTACTTATTTTAGTTATTCCAATCAAGTTCTTCAATTTTAATAATTGTATAGTTGTGATACATATATATATATATATATATATATATATATCATTTGACCACTCAATTAAGTTATTGTAATTTTAATACTTTCTTGAAACACCATATTAATTAATTTGTAGGAAACAATTGGATGTCAAAACGGTTTCCGATTTTTCTAATTTTTTATAAGATTGATCTATGAATGTAGAATTAAAAAATAAATATTTTAGATCGTTGAAAAAAATAAATTGTAAGGTACCCTAAAGGGTGTCTCTCAAATAAAATTATTTGAAGAATCCCTTAATAAAAGGGGACTATATATATACAATAAGTTGCAATTTTTTATTTATTACAAAAGTGTAATGATTTGAAATGCAATATGATTTAACAGATCACTGAAAGCACCTGCTTCTGATTAGGTTTAATCAAAAGCGAGTAGAGAGTCTTATTCCTTATTAAGTTATGGCAAATAAACATATATGTTTAATCCATTGAAAATAAATCAAAATGTCTCATATGAGTTAAAAATATGTCAAAATCAAAATATGTAATTAAATAATATCGTAGCCAACCCATGATTGTGGTGATTAAAGCTAATAGATTTTATATTGTTGTAAGTCAAAAAAGACAGATAGTACACGGAAAAGATTTGCTTTAACAGTCTGTACATGAAGTGTGGTTTAATTTGCCTTGGACATCAAATCCTCCCTCAACCCACTCGGTTTAGGAATGTGTCTTCGCTATGAGACACAGGACAAAACGATGTTAAGTTAGGGAAAATATTATATTTTATACACCATAGGTGTGTGTATATATAGTTTTGGGGGGTTTCATAATGAAAGAGCAAATTACAACAGTAAAAGTATTTGAACTATACATGATACATTTTACTTGAGCAACAACGTACGCCTTTTAAGAAACTAGGGCCTCCTATACTCACAGAAACAAAATCAAGGATCTATATAGATATTTGTCATGAAATCTTAATACTATGGTATAAATATGACAATAGAATATTATCCTCGAAACGACACCAATAATCTCTTTTGATCGTATATCCCTTTTTATTTTATGACTTGGTACTATATAGATGGTATATATACGTAATCCTATATCCTCTTTTTATTTTATTTTTGTTGTTGCTGAGTTATTGTCAGACAAAAGAAGAGATTGACGATCTTCAGCAAATCGGAAGTTACCATCAACCAGCAAATCGAATCTAATGCTTGGAGAGTTCCACTATGAGTGTGAATGTACGAACAGTCAACACTGAACAAGACCAGATATTCACATAAATATATCCTAAATTCCTAATTGGCTGGTCAACCCTCGTGCCACTGAAAGTAGACCACAGTGGACCCCTTTCTTTATATCTCCATACAAAGGTTATAGCTTTTCCAAGTTTTGGATTAGAAATTTTGATTAGGCATGTGTGAAAGTGACGGGAATGGCTTTGGTTCATTTGATTTGGTCCGGCCGGATGAGTCAAGTTTGCTCAACAAGTTAAGCTTACTTTTTCTTTTTTATAATCTTCGCTAGAAACCTAAACATATAATTAAAAGAGAGATATTCTTTAGGTCTCCAAATGATTTGTATCATAATAAAACTTTGTTGGCTTATCCTTATAACCTACACTGCCAATAAGATGTGAACTAATAATTGTTCTATAACACAACTCAAATCTACTACAAATCAAAGAGATATCATTGTGGATTATATGTATTAGATCTGAATTCAATGACACAACAAAACCAAGAGGTAGAGTTTAGGTTACTTTTTTTTTTTTATAGTCAAATATAAACTTCATTAAAGGCAGAGGCAAAGTCGAAAAGGCTATGATGAAGGGGTATGGCGGTGAGGGGTGTCCAATCCAACCATTAAACTTCAACATGGTTGGATTGGATTGGACCCCTCACCTATACCTCCTCATTGTAACAGCTTTTGTCTAAAGTTGTTGACAAATTCCAAACCCTAAAAAAGACCGATTTCTTCATTTTAATTTCTCAGTGGGGGAAAGTGTTGAAACTTTGAAAACTTTGCATCTTAAACGAGTTAAATTTCAAGCATAGAAAGGAGAAAATAAGATAAAATATGACTTTAAATTTTGGATATCTTATTGGATGTCCCATTGGCACAACAACTTGAGATTTAAAAAAAAAAAATTGTTGGTTTCCCAAAATTAGCAAAATAAATAAATATACAAATAAAATGTCCAGAAGGTCAGTACACCAGGCAGCAACGAGTCGATGACGATACAACAGTGACCTCAGGGATGACATGAGACGATATGTCGTATGACGTGGACGGCCATCCGTCCGTTCATCCAAGGAGAGACATCAATCGCGCTGATTGTGTCTTTTTGACGCATATAAATTGGTCTCCCGATCCATCACCAAAATTTATCATAAATTTGTGATATCGACCAAAACTTAAACATAGAAATAAATAAACAAAAACAAAAACAAAACTTGGAGTGGTCTTTGGATGGAGGGAGTGTCGTCAAATCGGCAAAGTGAGATGGAGGAGCTGATCCAAGGTGGTGAAGTTGCCAGTGGTCAACTTAGTAGGGTAATTAATCTTCATAATAATAGGTCACTTACTGTTAATGGTGATCATAATCATGATTTGGGATCGGGCGATGATGAAGGTTTTGTTAATAAGATGTTGGGGTCATTTTCGAATACTCTTTTCATCGCAAATGGGAAGGAGATGAAGGAGTTTCATCATCATGATGATCAGGAGCTGATTTCTGATCAGATTATTCAAGTGAATACTGGTGGTGGTGGTGGTGGTGGTGGTGGTGGTGGTGGCGGTGGTGCAGGTGCATCATCTTGGGATGTTGATCATCTACTTGATCATGCTATTAAGTGCGAAGCTTCTCATGAGGAGAGTTGTAAGAGTGCTTCGACCTTCTCCACGGATCGCAGAGGCTCTTACAAGAAAAGGTATATAATCAATTAATTACATTCACTATACTATTGATATATATATATATATATATATAACTATTTCATTACTATAATTTACAGAGATTCATCAACTCGCGGTAATTATATGAGCAAAATATATAGATCTCACTGCAAGATTAACTGTTTGTTTTTGTTTCTAATAGAGGTAATTTCTTTCGTGCATGATTGATTGATTGTTCAATGTCAAAAGTATTCAATATAAACGTCTTAATGAGGTATATGATCGAGTTAATTGATGCGTGAAACGATCTTTGTTCTTCGGGAGTGCTTGAATCGTGAGAGTAAATTAGGTCGGGAAAAAGGAGAATGAGATTGGGTCGAGCAAGTGAACTATCTTTGTTGAAGAACTTTTGTTTTTTTTACAAGTCATCCACACACTCATTAGGTCTTTGTTAGGACCTTTCTCCTAACAATTTAACAAAAGAAGGGATGGAGGCCTGCCAATTTGATTTGATAAGCTCATGCATGCATGTCATGCCATATACTAAGAAAAACATATACTTTTCGTTCCTTTCAAAACCAAGATACTCTTAAAGTGTAGCTGTTCTTTGGGGTCTTCCCCCAATTTCATTCTTTTCCTTTTTCCTTCTATCATTTTTCAATTTTATTACTTCATTTCATCAATTTGGCGTAAATTAATGATCAATGAATTTGTAATCAATCCAGTTCTAAACCAAGAGTTGGAAGTTGTTAATGACTTGCAGGAAGACTTGTCACTCTTGGATTAAAGACTCTCCTGCTTTGACAGAAGATGGTCATGCATGGAGGAAGTACGGACAAAAACTCATCCTTAATGCCAAGCACCCAAGGTACGTGCACATACATACAATTTCTCTACAACTTATAGGTGTTGGCGAGAATATTTTTGTTTATTTTGTGTAATTACTTACGCTTTGTACGTATAGTTTTATTGTAATTAGGATTTCTTTTCTATTGTAACTCTTTTAGGGTTTACCACTCCGAAAATTATCATATACTTTGTTTACTTATATTGCAACCTTGGTTAATATCTCAATTAATTGGATATGTTGTGAGCATGTGCAATGCAGGAACTACTTTAGGTGCACCCACAAATTCGATCAAGCATGCCAAGCAACCAAGCACGTACAACAAGTTGAAGATGATCCACCATTGTTTCGTACCACATATTATGGCAACCACACATGCAGAGTCTACTTGAAAGCTTCTGAGCTGATCTTGGATTGTACAAGCCCTAGAGAGTCTTCAAAGTTCATCAGATTTGACGACACCAACCCCTCAAGCAAACAAGAGCACCCCTTTTTCTCGTCGTTTAAATCGCTAAAAGGAGAAGAATGTTTCAAGGAAGAGACGATGCCAAGTGATTATATGACAACCCAGCACCACAACCAATTAGCATTGAGTGATTATCTTGTATCACCTCCTGATCTTCCGGCATTCACGTCCCCTGGGCTCATGAGCGGGTTTGCATCAGCCAATTATGATGACTTTGCATTTGATGAGTTTCTGCAGTATGAGTTGAGGTAGATGATCAGTACGTACGTACTTGCAAAAGTTTGACGGAGGAAAAAGTCGTGTGTTCTGATTTTTGAAGAGAATGATCTATAGCTGCTTTATTAGTGTAGAAAAATCATGTAAACACTTTATTCATCCAAAAATAGGAAGCAAACTTTGTGTGTCTTTTTTACATTCTTACATGATATTTCTTAATCAAAATCAATTTTCTCATACATGTATATGTATATACTTATGTAGATCTCTACAAATAAGCTACCTAATTCGAAGTAGTTGACATGAAAGTATAGGACTGTAACTATATAGCTAGGTTTTTTTATAAAAAAAATTTTGAGGGACAAATAAACAAAATATATAACAAATCAACAAATGTTTTTCAGTCATAATTAAGAAGTTTGTATTGTATCGCCATATCCGTATGTGCTATATATTTTAAGTCTTATATGTAGTACTTCTTATGACAGGGAAACCTTTGGACCCTGAAAAAAGACCAGATATATTCACATATCCTTAACTAAATCTTTGCAAAAGTTTGATGTAGAAAAAATCGTGTGTTGTGATTTTTGAAGTGTATATATATAAGTTAATTAAAGGTTATGGCTTTTCTAAATTTTTTGTCATTAATGAGAAAGTGATTGGAAACTTGGTTTGATTTGAATCATTTTAGTCTGCTAGAACAAAAGGAGACCAAAAAAATATCTTTAGGTCTCCAAATAAATGTATCATAATAAACTCTTTTTTTTTTTGGCTTATCCTATGTTTAAAAATACTAGGATAAGGGGCGGCTTGTGAATTTCCCCTCGTGAGGACAAAATTTTATATTATGTATCAAAGTTAATTCACAAAATAAAATTTTTACAAGTCATGATTATCTAGAACGTACGGAATTTTTTTTGGTTTTATTTTTGTTTTGTGAAGATCTAGAACCGGAATATTTTGTTTGAACATTAATTTATCAGTTTCCTTTGTAGGGGATGATCCACAAATTTTACTAGTCCTAACTAGTTTATTTTATATTATAACATATGGTGTACAAATTATATGACAGATGCATCATGCATCCTAGGAATATATTGGCAGCTGAAAGTATGACGCTAATCGAATATATTTCATTACAAAAGACTTGTCCTAGTGGCTGTTGAATGCAAATGGTAGTGCATAAGGCAGAGTTCAATAACAACAAGCGGCCCAAGGCCCAAAAATGAAGTTTCAGTTGGGCTAAGGAATTGGTCTACTAAAAAATGGACCGTTGATTGTTATTATTAAAAAAAAAAAAAAAAAAAAAGGGCCCATTGATGTCATTCTCCTTCTCTTTTTATTTTTTATTTTTTATTTTTTTCTTGTTGATAAGATGATGTCATTCTTCTTTGATTTCTCAATGCATGGATAAAGGCTATAAAGCAAAGTGTTCAAGGCCTACACTCAATTATAAGGTCCTACTTCCATGGATGCAATCATGCAATGAATCAGAAGATAGTAATTTTATTATTATGGCGTATTTTAACGCAGAAAAGATACAAACTGAGCACCAGGAAACACCAGAGTCCCAAATATTTGCAACATAACATAAAAATCAAAATCACTACAAAAAACGTATGTGTAGATATTCTCTTCAGGCTTCAACTGAGACTTTGCTTGTTGCCTTTTGACAACTTCCCAACAAAATCAAGCCCATAAAGCCCCCAGACCAGAGCAAGAGATGACAACCAAACTGGGACAGGACCAAGCATCCACAGCAGCATGAGAAAAGTGATGCAGAGCATTCTGCTGCTCACAAAAGCCAGAATGAAGCCTTTCTCAAATATGGTTCTTATGTGTGCAGAAGATGTGAACTCATGATCACCAGATGCATTTATCAAGAAATTGGCATCAATCAAAAACCCAATTGCCATGGAGCTGCACAAGAAGCTCACTGCCAAGGACAATGCTGCTGAGCCATATTTCAGAGAAAAAATCATTGTAGATTGTGACCCAAAAAATGCATGGCTGAAGAGGTGGGTTGCACTGTAGCTGTTGTTTATGAAAGCTGCCAATGAGACTTCAATGAGAATTGCTATGGAGGCTGTGAGTGTTGAGCCCATCAGAGTGTTTCTCAAGCTTTGGACTGCCAGCATGCCTTTCTTGTCATCTCCCTGCATAGCCAACATCATCATATAAATTAGCAAGAATAAGTAATCTAAGATACAATTAATACAATAATGGTCTTTAGAGGGTTAATTACCCCATTTAGCTCTAGAAACCATGCGCTCCTTTTCAGCATGTTGACTCCAATTGTGGTGTGAGAGGGTTTGTTCTTGAAGTTGTGCCAGAGATAGGCATGGTAGCCTACTGTGAGAAAGAAGCTCAAGGGGACCAAAATGGTGTCTAGATAAACAACCACTCCCATCTCAAGTTCTTTGAAGATTTAATTCCTAGAGAATCAGAGATGGATTTGTAGCCAAAGCAATCCTATATATTGTGACTGATGAGAGAGCCCAAATGAGTCTAGGAGGAGCAAACGGTAGTGGAATTTTCGTCACAAGCAAATGCCTTTAGTGAATGTGTCGTAATTGGCAGACAGAGTTGTGGAATGTGTATAATGGACATTAAAGTTTTGATGTGGGGTTGGAGGAATATGCAAAAGACTAAGCATTGGTTCTAGTGGCCAGTCCACAAATGTTTTAAATGGATTAATTTTGTCCTGGAAATTGTATAAGGGAAAGCAACGATTGCGTTATAAAGTTTGATTCGATTTTTAACTCGTAATGTTTTTTCAGCCACATGAAGGCCATGGTTGTGTAACTTGTGTTGTGTGCCTACTTCTAATTGGGTGCTTTTGTATGGCTACTTCAAAAGAATTGCTTTAGTTAGAACCTAACAAAAGCAATTGCGCACACAAATTACTGCACAAGGATTCTGGACCACCTATTTACTGTGACTTTTCTTACTGGTATCGGTTAAGAGGATAGTATGTATTTAGTTGTATAATCACGTGATAAGAGAGATAAGAATATTAATTATATACAACTAGCGACGATTATATATAATCACGTGATGAGTGAGAGGGATATGAACATAATTATATAAAACTAGTGACGGTGATATATAATCATGTGATGAGTCAACTGGTGACGAGTCAACTTAAACTTCGACTATAATTGTAAAAATATACATGCATCTGCATTGCTTTCTTAACTTGTTCCTCAACTGAGACTTTGCCTATTGCTTTTGTTGAATTTCCCAACAAAATCAAGCTCAGAGAGCCACCAAACCAAGGCCAGGGACGACAATGCCACAGGCACTGGGCCAAACAACCACAACATAAGGGGAAATGAGATACAGAGCAACCTGTGGCCTATGAGAGCCAACATGTATCCTCTTTCAAATAGTGTTTGTGTAATTCCAGAAGATGAGAACTCAGCAGAAGCGTTGATGAGAAAAATGGTATCAATGAAGAACACGGTGGCCATAGAGCTGCATAATGAACTAAACAGCAAGATAACTGAGGCAAAGCCATACTTGAGAGCAAACATTCTTCCAGACTGTGAACCGAAAAGGGGGCTTTTGATTAAGAGGTGTCTTGCATTGTAGGCATTGTTGGTCAGAGCAGCCAAGGCCAAGCTAAAGGCAATTGCTATTGAAGCTGTGAATATTGCCACCATTTGAGTGTTTCTCAAGCTCTGGACTGCCAGCATATCCTTCAAACCATCACCCTGCAAATCATTTAATTTAATTAAGACTAGAAACCTCAAATTGAGGCTTTTTTTTCCAAGTGGGATTTCGAAAATCATGAAGAGGGTTTTGGACTTACCTCCTTAATTTCAAGAAACCATATTCTTCTTCTGATCGAGTCAATTCCAATGGTTGTATGAGATGGCTTGGTCTTGAAGGTATGCCATAAATATGCATGGTAACTTATTAGAAGGAAGAGGCTCAAGGTGACCAATATGGTGTCTAAATAAACAAGCACTTCCATATTCTCTTCAGCAGATTAGAGGCATGTATGTGAAGTGGAAGACGGTATGAATAATGCTTTGAAGGTGGCAAAATCTATTTGTGAAAGATGGTTCAGAACAGCTGGTATTATGTATGATGGACATTGTAAATTTTTGTGGCTGGGGTTTGAGTAATCCACAAAACGCCTAATAATTTATGTGGGCATGCTTTGTAAGTTCACCTAATTAAACTCTACTGATTTGCCAAGCTAAAGTAGATGGCTAGATGTCCACTATAGATATAGTTTAAGAAGTTAAGTAGGTCAAGACCAAAAACAAATGCTCTAAATGAGTAGGAAATGATTTTCAAAATTGAAATGCTGTGGAACAGAAAAAGTTATTCATATTCCGATTTTTAATTATATTTGATTCAAATGATTTGAATATGTCATCTAAAACTATTAAGTCTGAACTTGTGATTGTGCCGGCTATGTTGAGGGACTACCTTGAGAGGTTCAACCAACCTTACAATAATTACTCTACAATTGATCAAATGACTATCCCTTTGATATAATTTTTTTAATAAAAAAAGACTATTAAAAACCCCCTCTTTATAACCTCTCATTTTAGTATTTCTGAACAAAATATGCCGCTCAGTGTCAGTCTAGTACCACAATGCTTGATTTTTTTTTATTTATTTTTTGGTTCAAAAGTTTGACAACAAAAAGCCCAATACCTACGAAGTTGATAAAGGCATGAGAACCCAAAACCATCCCAAGAGAATAGCGTCCGAAAGAAGGCCCAACAAGAAGCCAGCGAAAGTCCAGTACCGGTACCAGTAAGGTGCGGTGTCCTTTTCAGTTGGTTGCCTCTATCTTGCTCACTTTACCATCACAAAAACTACTGCGCTGATAGCTTTAGAGGAAGAGGGGAGGTGAGAGAAATGGAACAGAGATTGTTGTGGTGTGAAAAGAGCTCGCTTTTAGGGTTCATATTTGCGGTTATTTTTATTATATGCAACGAGTGCATCATACAGTGTAATGCTTCAATCCACGAGTACAGAAATGAAGCTTTCAGTCCTCAGTCAAACGCCTTCTTCTTCCATGGCGGCAGCGAGGGCCTCTACGCCTCTAAGGTCCATGGTTCTGCTGATTCTTCGTCCACAGACAATCATCACCTCAGGGGCAAGTCCTTCATCAGGTCACTAATTTCTATTACTTCCTTTTATCCTCTCTGTATTGCAAATTTTGTTACTTTATATGCCACCTGGTAGTTGTAGAATCATAGATACCACTTTCTTTAAGATAGTGAATTATGTGCAGTTAGTTAGTTTGTACATGTAAGAATTATTTGGTAAATTGAGATTTTTAATCACCTGGGTTATAATCATGGTTGTGCAATTGATTTTAAAAATATTATTTCATGATTTCCTGCTATGGATTTGGCTCCATAGACGATGTCGCGCTCACTAATGGAATTTCAGGTTTGAGAGTGTCACTTTTGTGAGGACTAAAGAGTCTGCCAATAAGCAAAGTGAAATGCAGCAGAATACTGGTTTGGTGGAAGCTATCATTCTTGAAGTGAAGGATAGGGTTCGGATTGGAGCTTCTTTCGTCCAATCCGAAAAGATATGCTGCACCAGGAATCTTTCGAATTCTGGATACTGCACGGTGGGAGAGGTTGTTATCCACAAAAATCCAGACAACCCTGACTGGCCTGTGCGCATCAAAACCTTTTTTAATGGAAAGGATGAAGAGGCCAGAATGGATACTAAGTCAGTTAATATCAATAGTTCTGGAATGTACTACCTTTATTTTATGTTCTGTGATCCGCAACTCAAGGGCACATTGATTAAAGGAAGGACTGATTGGAGAAACCCAGATGGTTATTTGCCTGGGAAGATGGCTCCTTTGATGACATTATATGGCTTTATGTCTTTAGCTTACCTTGTGCTTGGCCTAGCCTGGTTTCTGAGGTTTGTTCAGTTTTGGAAGGATATTATTCAATTGCACTACCATATTACAGCAGTGATTGCTCTTGGAATGTGTGAAATGGCTGTGTGGTACTTTGAGTATGCCAATTTTAATTCAACTGGAATCAGACCTATGGGCATTACATTATGGGCTGTAACCTTTAGCGCTGTCAAGAAGACTCTTTCTCGCCTTCTTCTTTTGGTAGTTTCCATGGGCTTTGGCGTTGTGAAGCCTACACTGGGTGGTATAACACCAAAAGTATTTCTTCTTGGTCTGATATATTTCGTGGCATCAGAAGCACTTGAGCTTGTTGAACATTTGGGGAACATTAATGATTTTTCTGGAAAAACAAAGTTGTTTTTGGTTCTACCTGTTGCCTTCTTAGATTCATGGTTTATTCTATGGATTTTCTCATCGTTATCAAAAACTTTAGAGAAACTTCAGGTAATCTTTTGTTTTGTTTTTTTTTTTTTCACTCTCTATTTGCCTTCTGTTATACCTTCATCATATGAATGCTTTAATTTAGTATCTTCTGTTTCATGTAACATTGTTCATCCCATTAATATCTTTCTGTAATTGTGTGTGTTTGTTGGAGGAGTAGGGGTTGGGACGGTGGGGGGCATATGATGTTACATTAATGACCAATTCTTGACCTTCTTCCTCTTGTTTCTTTTGCATGCAGATCAGGAGAAACATGGCTAAATTGGAACTATACCGAAAATTTACCAACTATCTCGCAATTTTTGTGCTTCTCTCGGTTGCTTGGATTGGCTTTGAGGTATTACTCAGTGCAAAGTTGTATATTGTGAATTAACAATTCCATGGGGTACAATGAACTATACTGGATTTTGTGGTGTCTTTATTCGTATTCTTATCTCCAGTAAAACTACTAATTGAATCTCCCCTGGATATTGTTGACTCAGCTATATTTCAATGCAACGGATCCTCTGAGTGAGTATTGGCAAATTGCTTGGATTATTCCTGCATTCTGGACTCTGCTTGCATATGCTCTCTTGGCGGTGATATGTATCCTTTGGGCTCCTTCACGTAACCCAACTAGGTATTTTGTTTGACATTGCTTGTTAACAGGTTCATGGTGTCTTGTATCATAACAGTCATATCTGCATGTAGTTATAAATATAAAAAAATCTATATATATTTCCTTAACTCATGTTTCCATTGTTTGACTTGACTGGCATAAAATTTATGTTATAGATGACCTTTTGTTTCTCTCTAATATCTTGTGTATTAAGTGTTATTTATCTTAAGCATAAAAGGGTATGCTATTCTTGTCGAAATTTTGTGGAAATTCAATCGCATGTGTAACCAAAACCCTATTTCTTTCTCTGCTTTCTCATGATTTTTTTTCATCCGTTACACCTTTTTGGTGATTTGAATCCAAAATGCAAATGACATCTATGAATTTGGTACTTTTTTTATTTCCTTCGCAAAAGTTGATAACATTCATTAATGTTCTTATTCTGGTCCGGGACATGTAGATATGCATACTTGGAGGAAGCAGGAGACGATTTTGATGAGGAGGGCATCTCGTTAACAAGTGGTGCTTTGAAGGTGAGTGGAGATGTGACAGCCATGCGAGAATACGACAATGTGCTTGCCGAAGATCGGGAGGAGGATAAGCGAGAATAGATCTTTGCTGGCCCTGTATTTTTACCTTGATGAAGCTTCAGTTTCATCATAACCAGCAGTTCTATAAATCTTGAGACAGAATCTATGTTGTATTGTATGTAGAGAGAATAGGTGAATGACTAGTTATGGTAGAGAAGTATGTGAAGAAAGAAATACAAATTTTAGAGCTGTACCATAAATGTATGATCAGTTTCAGTTTAGGCAAGAGAACAAAGATAATCTAATTCATGATGAGCCATTTCCATTCTCTGAATCTCTGCTTTGGATATATTTCTACTGCTCTCGTATCTTCTCTGGTGACAATTATTTCACCTATATCTCTGTAGGTTGTCACTTTCTTAAAATGAAGTGAAAAAAAAAAATTTGTACTGCAGGGGTTTACAGCCAAATACAAATAAAGCAAAAGCAAAAGCAAAGCAAATTAAAAGGGTATAATTGGGTTGGTTGAGTTGGTAATGATCGTTCTCTTCGCTATCAAGGTCTAGGTTCAAGTCCCACTGCTGACAATCCATTTTGTGGGTAATTTGTAAAACCCCCTCTGTAAGTCCTCAAAGTCAAAGAGGCATTGGTATGCCATGACCCTATGATAGGGTAGCCTCCCGTTCCCCTAAACTTTTTGTTTTAGAGAAAAAAAAAGGGGGAAAAGAATGGTAGTTTTTCGTGGGTGCAAACTCATAAGCAAGGGAAACTGAACAAAAATTATACAAAAACCCTAAAACAGGAAGTTAAAATGTGTGGCTGCTGGGATTCGAGCCCATGTCTCCACGGCCACAACGTGGAATTCTTACCACTAAACTACAGCCACAACTTGTTGTCTACTTGTTCTATTGAAGATACTAATATACATAACATAAGTAACAAGTGCACCAAATTGTGTGTGCTCGGGCTTGTCCTTCAAGATCCACAAACAATAACTTGTTGGTGTCAACCACTTGGGCCAGAATATATTGTCCACCAGCTCACTTCACAGAATCGTCTTGGTTTCTATCGATGTTAGTTGTTCATTTCTCGTATTCATACGTTGCATTGAGAATTGAACTTTCCCAATTACCAGTTTCTTTCTGGACTAGTCAAGTTCTTTTCAGTTCCCAAAAAAAAAAAGGTTCTTTTCAGTTTCACAAATAAATTCATAGCTGCAGAAAGGAAAGCCCTGGCAGCTTTGGCTTCAACAATTTGCTCTTTCATAAGTTTCATATACAGGTACCTTAAGAACTACAAGCTCTTTCTTTGATGTTTCGGCGATGAACCCAATTTCTCATTGTTTATGTTTCAAATGCCATTTTCAAGAAAAGGGGTCTTGCAGAAGTGGATTTTAATTGTTGGGTTTCTTTTGGTTTTGTCTAATAGTTGAAGGAAAGAACATGGGTCGTCCTCACCACCATCACCATGGAGATGGAGACAGCCCTTATGATGATCCATTGTTATCGTGTTGTTGCTGCCCTTGTTATTTAGTCTCTTCAACTTTCAGAAGAATCGGGAGATGCATCTTTGTGGCTTGTTTCTCTCTTCTGCAGTGTTTTGGATTGGATAGCTGCCGTCACCACGACCAAGACCACGACCACGTACATCTTCACTGAGAGCATCAATTTATGTTTAAGTATTCTCCTGCCTTTTGTTCTACTTGTGTTGGCTCAATTTAGATCATCAATTGTATTGAAGGGACTTGTTTTACGGTCAAACTCTAGCTATAGCTTTCTCAATTGATGTCAAGAACTCTTTGTGAGCTGAAAGTATGCCAAATGGAATTGTGCATTGTTTATCTCAGCCATCATACCCAAGTCACATTAGTTGATTTAATTATATTCATTTTGTGCTGAAAATTATATTTGATCGATTTACACTTTTTGTTTGTTAACAAATAAATAACCATTTGGCTTGAAATAAATCAAAATTTTAATAATGGAAGTGGGTTTGGTGCCTTTACGTTGCCCCAAAAAAGTATGGCATGTCCACGGTGCAAGCAATATGCAAAAAGCTTGGTCCTTTGCCACACAACATCTAATATTATTATATATCATACATACTTTTAAAAATAAATTTTTTTTTTTTTTTGCTACAGACTTTTAACAATTTGGGTTATATAAGGTGTCGCCTTTTACGGTGAGAAATTTATGTTGCTACATTTCCAATCATATTAAGGATTATAACTTCTTTTTTTACGTTTTTGGCCAGGAACCATGATTCTAGCTTTTGTCATGGGGCCCATGAATTGCTTTAAGTGGGATGGGACCGCCGCCAGTTAAAGTCTCCACTTTCCAGGTGTGATCTTGTATGATTCTTTACCACAGACATGCCCCATCCAGCAGCCAACCACGTGTTTCTCTTGTGCAAATTATCCAAGAGCAGCATGCACCAAAATAATACGATTAACTCTTAATTAAAGCATCAAATTAAACATATATTGTCTCTACTAATGTGATCAAAATTGAAATGACATCAGTTGATTTTTTTGACAAAGCAATGTTCTACACATCTCTAATGTAAGGGGAGAGAAATTGAAATGGGATGCAAATCGGCATGTACACTAACTTAACAAACTTGCCAAATCAACACTTAGGAATGTAATTAGTTTCTTGATTGCCTAAAAATTAGGATATGAGTGGAAGTGAGAGAGTAAAGTGTTTATAGGCAAAAAGAAACACGTGGATTGCATGCAAAGTACAATGTTACATCGTTCGCAGCTCAAACGTGGATCCTTCTTTTTGATCCAATAGCTTGAAGACAACGCAATGGAAAAAAAAACCAAATGAGCAGTCTAGAATAAGGTTCCCGTCAAAATCAAACAGTGGAGAAATTGGAAATTTCGTTGTTTTCTGGTAAGTTTCGGAATAGAAATCAGAATTGTAGTTGGAGTGGTAATTTGGTTTATTTTAACAATTTAAAACATTTTCCACTTTAGATACTTTTCTTCTCTGAATCTAAACACACGCTAAAAGAAAACTACCTCTTTGACCTTTCTAAGCTTCCCACGAAATTTTGTTCCAGACCCAGAAAACTTGCAGTGCGAAATAACTAGTTCCTCTTCTTAATTATCAAATTTTGCGATCTGGGTTTTAAGAAAGACGAGAATTTGTTGGGGAAAACCTGTTCCTTGTAAGATTGGGTTTGATCTGGTTCTCTCTCTTTGGAGCAATAAATTGGAGAATCAGTGTCAGTGTCTAAGATGAAGGAAAAGCTGGGATTTTTAGTTGGGGTTTGGTTTCTTCTTTGTGGGGTTTGCGTGGGGAGGTTCGTGGTGGAGAAGAACAGCTTGAAAGTGACTTCTCCGAGCTCGTTGAAAAGTGTATATGAATGTGCAATTGGGAACTTTGGGGTTCCTCAATATGGAGGAACCTTGGTCGGGACTGTGTATTACCCGAAAGCCAATCAAAAGGCATGCAAGAGCTTTGATGATTTCGATGTCTCATTCAAATCGAAGCCTGGCGGTCTACCAACCTTTCTTCTTGTCGATCGAGGAGGTTAGCCTTTTCAATTTCGCATTTTTTAGCTTCCAGTACTCATGGATTGTGACTTACTCGGAATGAACTTTAGAGGTGGTTTGTATAGATATCAGTTTGTGGTAATTGCTTGTTATCAGTCTGCAAATTTGTGTAGTAATAATTATGGGGTGTTATAGAATGCAATTGATTTGTTTCTGGTTTATAAATGAAAGCTGACGATTAGTTTGGTGTTTTTTTTTATATTTCTTTTCTTCTGGTTGCTCTCTAATCTTGTTGTCATGATCCAGGCCCCAGTCACTGATACTTGTTGTGAAAAGTTTTTAAAATGCTTGGTTTAGGTATGATAACTGAATATGTTGAGTCCTGTTTGTTGGTTAGTCCTTAGGTATTCATATTTCAAGATCTCAACCTCCTTCTGTTATGTTAAATGTTTATACATGTGTAAGATATTTATGACTATTTTCATGCCCCATATGAAACATTGTTTGCCTTGCTACCAGTCCATGCTGCTTTTGATTGAGACTCTGTGTGTGTCCCTTAGCTGGTGTGTTCTGATTTATGACTAATCGACTGTGATGTCCCGGCAGATTGTTTCTTCACACTGAAGGCATGGAATGCACAGAAAGGTGGAGCAGCTGCTATTCTCGTTGCAGATGACAGAAATGAACCATTGATTACCATGGACACTCCTGAAGAAGAAAATGCGGATGCTGATTATCTGCAAAAGATCACAATTCCCTCAGCCCTCATTAGCAAATCTTTGGGAGATAGCATAAAAAAATCTCTATCTAGTGGGGAGATGGTCAACATAAATCTAGACTGGACAGAGGCTCTTCCACATCCTGATGAACGTGTTGAGTATGAGTTCTGGACGAATAGCAATGATGAGTGTGGGCCAAAGTGTGACAGCCAGATTGAGTTTGTGAAGAACTTTAAAGGAGCAGCTCAGGTACTAGAGCGGAAGGGTTACACTCAGTTTACTCCCCACTATATAACTTGGTACTGCCCAGAAGCTTTTGTTTTGAGCAAACAGTGCAAGTCTCAGTGTATCAATCATGGGAGGTACTGTGCTCCAGATCCTGAGCAAGATTTCAGTAAAGGTTATGATGGGAAAGATGTTGTTGTTCAAAATCTCCGTCAAGCTTGCTTCTATAAAGTGGCCAATGAAAGTGGAAAGCCATGGCTTTGGTGGGACTATGTCACTGACTTTGCCATACGTTGCCCAATGAAGGAGAAGAAGTACAACGAAGAGTGTGCAAATCAAGTTATTGAATCCCTTGGTATGTTAACCACTTAACATCTATAGAAAGTCTAAAATTTGAAAATTCATTAATCCAATTGATTTTGTATATGAAGAAAATGTCAAAAAATGTAATGTGAGCTGTCTAAATATCTTCATCTCTCGGTGAGATTTTTGTGGATGAAAGTTAGTTACTCTGCTAAAACCTGAGGATCACAAAGTAACTATTTCAATATATTTTCTGTAACATTGAAGGTGCTGATCTCAAGAAGATAAAGAAATGTATTGGGGACCCTGAGGCTGATGAGGAGAACGCAATTCTGAAGGCCGAACAGGATGCACAGGTTGGGCGCTTGGGAACTTTTTTATGATGTTCCTCTAGCCTTATGTCCTCATCTTTTCATGTTTTGTATAAGCTGTGGTACATTGTACTCATTTTTCACGTCTCAAATCTTGTTTCAGATTGGCAAAGGCTCCCGTGGAGATGTTACGATATTGCCAACTCTTGTAATAAACAGCAGACAGTACAGAGGTTTATTACAATTCTTTTCCGTATCACATCAGGTGTTTAATTTCATCACTTTTCGTGGCTTATGTTTGTTCCTTTACATTTTTTCCAGGGAAATTAGACAAAGGAGCTGTTCTCAAGGCCATCTGTGCCGGTTTCCAAGAGACCACTGAGCCTGCTGTTTGTTTAAGTGAAGGTCCTCATTTAATCTAGTTTGCCCTAGTTCTTCATTGATATAACTGATGTAAAACTAATGTAAATTGATTCTTTTAATTTCGCATGTGTGAGTTTATATGATTGTAAACCCTCCTTCCCCATGAATTCATGTCACACGGGAATCCACTTGGTTCAGATTCCAATAGACTGTAATGTATGTGTGTTTATGTGTCCAGGACTTGCAATAAGTTTTTGAAACGGTAGTATTTTAATACTCCTTCCAGATGCATAGGCAGCTTATGTTTTTAAAAAGATTGATCAGTGGTTCCCTAAGAATCATTTCATTATTTATCTCGAGCTTTATTATCGCTGAGATGGTGTCAGTTTCCTCTTTATTTGTTTTGTGCAGATATAGAAACAAATGAGTGCTTGGAAAACAATGGAGGTTGCTGGCAGGACAAATCTGCTAACATTACTGCATGCAGGGTATCTTTCTTTTGTGGAGGGTGTTCATAGTTACTGATGCTTGAGTTTGTTTGGGATTTTAGATTTTCTGGTTTAGACTGATTATTCTTTTGTTTTAGGATACATTCCGAGGAAGAGTGTGTGAATGCCCTACTGTGCAAGGCGTAAAGTTTGTTGGTGATGGTTATACCCGCTGCGAAGGTAAATTATGTGCATGTTGTTTACGTTTAATTGTGGCATAACTTCCAAATTTTCACATGCACTGCAAGTATAAATTATCCGATCGGCAGTCAAAGTTGTAGTCTCTACTTACTGGACAATACTTCATATTTCCCTTTTTCTTTGTTCTTTATGTGTTCAAAGAAAGGCAATCAATCAGTATGCTCAGAAGTTTTAGAACTGGGTGTTGGAATATGAAGGTTTCATCAGTGAACTGTGGAACTGATTTGCCATTCTCTATTTTAGTTTTCCTGTTTTGGCTTTAGTCATTTCATTGTTTCTCTTGTATGATTGAACAGCTTCAGGAGCTTTACGTTGTGAAATTAACAATGGAGGTTGTTGGAAAGGAACCCAAAATGGCAGGACTTACTCTGCTTGTCGTGTAAGTTTGGATTTAAATGTTGTTTATCAAATTTCCCCCAAAAGGAGAGATGATGATGATTTTTCATTACTATATGTCCAGGATGACCATACAAATGGTTGCAAGTGTCCGCCAGGATTCAAGGGTGATGGAGAGAAAACATGTGAAGGTACTTGCTGCGTTTGGATGTTTCGAATTATTAATTATAGCGTAATTCTCATTGATAAATTAGTTGATGACTTGTTTGATCATTGAAGCATATTTAGCTTAAGCCCCTGGGGCCCATTTGCATGAAATTTTCCATCTGAAACTGTTTTATGCCACATTGCCAAAGACTATACTATCAGAAAAACATTACCTACTTCCTGGGCTTGTTAGTTTACAAGGCTACCACAAGACCTTATAATTTAGGGTCTTGGGTTTGAAGGCCACCACTGGTATTATTAGTTAAGTAATTTTCAATTCAATCATTCTTCTTGATTTCCAGCCCTCCTTAAATGGTGGCATAGGTGAATGAGTTGGTGACCTCAAAAACAGTCGTTGGCTTTCATAGATGTGCTTTGTTTTTATATTGTAACCAAGTAGATGAGAGTTAGAAGATCCCTGTTCTCTTGTATTGATACCAAGTCACCCTGCCTGGTTTTCTGCTTTTGTTCACGTTCCAGATGTGGATGAGTGCAAAGAGAAGGTCAATTGCCAATGCGCACAATGTAAATGCAAGAATACTTGGGGCAGTTATGAGTGCAGCTGCGGTGGTGGTTTACTGTACATGCGAGAACATGATGCATGTATAAGTGAGTATTCTCAATTCTTTTCTGTTTCAGTTGTTTGAAGCATTAATGCTCTAACGATCTATTATATATGATTTACAATTTGCATCTAGGATATGAGTTTTGTATTTGAGTTTGAACTTTGAATGAACGGTTTCCTTGATGAACTAGTCAGCCATTCAACTTAGCCATGTTGTAGATTAGGACAGAAGAACTACCTTTCCATGTGGAGATTTGAACTAGAATTCCTGCTTCTTTTCCTCTTTCAAATTCTGATTGGTACTTGATTACTACTGCCTCCTCTATTATAGCATCTTGTTTACTTGGTTTTCTGTGCTAATTGTTCTGTCTTTTATTTATTTATATTTAAACAGGTAAAAATGCCAGCGTTTCAGAGTTTAACTGGGGCTTCATGTGGGTTATTATTCTCTGTTTGGGTGCTGTTGGAGTTGGGGGATATGCAGTGTACAATATTGTTGATGCAGAAATACATTACTTTGGATGCAATTCAACTATGAATCATAAGACAGCGTCACTGTTTCCGTGTTCGCTGCTACCCTTTTTGTACAAAGTGATGGTCGTAAAAGTTGTTTGTTGAATTACTTTTGTGCAGAGATACATGGATTCGGAGATCCGGGCGATCATGGCGCAGTACATGCCATTGGATAATCAAGGAGAAATTCCCAACCATGTTCCCCGTGGGGATATCTGAAACTGGTGGAGGCACTCATAAGATGAGAGGCTGTTTGAGGGGGAGTGAAGGAAAGGCAACCAGATTATATCCTCAAATCTTTTTCGTCATTTCCTCGTCTGCCTCTATCTAGCCTCTAGCCTCTAACAATTGATTTTATTGGTCATGACTCGTGAGAGTAATATTTTCAATGTATCTAGCAGCAGCCTTGAGCCTTGGTTAATGACCATTTTGCTTCTTTTTTTCTTTCAAAATTTTAGGAGGAAACATTAATCGTCTCGCATTGTTCTCATAAATGTAAAACATGCATGCACAATAGGAAGCTAGATAGAAATACTTGCCTCTCCTGGCACATGACATGTGTGCGTGTTGAGAAGAATTATTGTCATTCATAATCATACTAAATGTCCCCAAGACACAGGCATGCAACTTCTCCTAGGAAGGGGACGAAATTAGGGTTACAAACAAATTAAGGAAAAAAAAAACATGGATGTAAATGAATGAGGATCTTGCAGCACAGCCTGGATCAAGTCCATAATCTCGATTCAAGCAGACTAGGGCTGGCGTAAGTTCAGTGTACATTTCCTACCACTCGATCTGCTTAATCCAACGGCACCCACCACTATTAGTATCTACTGGGATTGCTTGGGCAGAACAGCAAAAATGTCCACTGAAGACTATGACATGCCACGCAAGGATTTAGAGAAATTTGTTTATTGAGCACCCGCTGTCATCAGGTCACCAACTTCCTTCACCTTCCGGCACTGAGAAGGTGTCAGCTCCCATACGTGATCTTACGACTTTGCAAAGACCTATGTCATTGGTAAACAGTCGCTCGAGCTTGGTCATTGTGAACCCCTTTGTGAGGGGGCACCCTCCCAAAGTTATGGGGCTATTTTGCCGAGTTCCTTAGAGAGAGTTGTCTTGTCCCCCTCAAGTCAAATACTTAAGATGCAAAATCATTATATTTTCAAATAATTTATCACCGTTAAGGTTCCCAAGTGCCAAGAAGTAAAGGGTTACCCTGTTATAACCTGAACAATGTTTATTGAGCACAAGCACATAAAATTCCGTTGCATGTGATATGAACTTGATCATAATTAAACCATTGATTTCTACACATGAAGTGTTAAATTGCAAATAACCATACCATGGACATAATTTCCAAACAAAAAAAGAAAAAGAAAAACCATCCCATACACAAAGTTAATTTCCATGGATGTTTTTGAAGGTTCTAGTATGAAATAGCATCCGGGTGTTCGATTAGTGGCGTTCTTCCGCGTCATACTGTAGTTTCATTCATTTTGGTGAGATCATACTCTCCCTATATTGCTGTTTTTGGTTCTTCATTTGCTTCGCTCAAGTTAGCTTTGCCTGAGTTTAAGAAATTGGTGTAAAAATTGAAACTTGATGGCCCAATTAGCTCCAGCATTTCCTTTTTCCTCTGTGCTTGCCGCCAAGACTACTAAAGGAAAAATATAACCGCTTGGTTTTTTTAGGTGTTTTTATTTTTTCGGTTGTCATAAAACAAAAACAGATGAACTGAAGTAGTTTCCTTTAGACAAATAATGTTTTAATTTTTCAGACAAAATGACGTTTCAGTACTTAATTATCAATGTAACGTTTTTTATGAAGTTCTGTAATAAAGTATAGCCGCGCGGCTATACTACCGAACCAACTTACTACAGCCGCGCGGCTATACTTTTTTAACAAGTTTTGATAGTATAGCCGCACGGCTATACCAGGATTTCTTTTTGGCTAGGGTCACTGTTTGGGTGATAGAATCTCCTCCATCTAAGAGTCTTGCAATGCCGAAATCCGCAACTTGTGCAACCATATCATCATCTAGTAGTATATTGCTTGTCTTCACATCACAATGGACATCATGTTTTGGATAACCATGACCATGATGAAGGTAGTCCAATGCTGATGCAACATCTGTCAGTATATTCAACCTCTGTAGGATGTTCAAATGAGAGTTTTGAGAGTACAGCCACTTGTCAAGGCTCCCATTAGGCATGTATTGCAGTACCAGGGCTTTGAAATCAATCTGACTGCAACAACCGATGATTTTTATAAGATTTCGGTGATGAATGTTGATCAGCACTTCACATTCACTATCAAAACTCTTGAAAGCCCCTTCAAGCTGTAAATTGAAAACCTTTACAGCAACATCTATCCCATCTGAAATTGTACCTTTATATACTACTGAGCCAAAACCACCAGTTCCAAGTAAGTTGCTTTTGTTAAATCCATTTGTCGCCCTCAGAAGTTCAAGGTGTGAAACTCTTCTCCAAAGAAGTTGAGGTAACAAGGCAGTCTCGATTGCAACTTCCACTTTCCTTTTTCTGCGTTTTATGAAGATTGATACAGAAACCAGTAGAAGTATTGCTGATAGGATCCCTGGAATAAGATATTTCAGGTTGGACGTACTCTTTTTGCATGGTGGAACAAGGAGTCGGGCTGCACCACAGAGCGCACCATTTGAGAAAAATGATTGGGCAGATAAGTTTTGAAAAGCTCCACCAGTTGGAATTTCTCCATAGAATCTGTTGAAAGACAAATTCAGAAATCTGAGATGCAAGAGTTCTTCTAGAGACTTTGGAATCAGTCCAGAGAGATTGTTTTTGAATAAAACCAAGTCTTCTAGGCTTAGAACTAGAAATAGTTCCTTCTAAATTATCATTTTCCAAGAAGAGTTGAACCAAACTTTTAAGACCCCCGATGCTGCATGGTATGCTACCTGATAAGAATTCAAATCTAATTCTAATGCAAGAAACCTCAACTGGTGCAACAGAAAAAGGGAAAAGTTAGATGTCTTTAAAAAGGAAGAAAAGTTTGGATGTCTTCACATCTCTTTCCACCAACTCTCCAAATTTTCTCAGGATCCAAGGTTGACAGTTACAACCTTCCAAAAAAATTTTAATGGAGAATTCTGACCAAAGAAAGCTCAAGCCCAGACAAAGAAAAGTGTTACACTCTCTGAGATTTCTGTTTAACTTAAATTTGGAATTATATGATACTGAAGACTGGAATTAATTGGACCTTGGTTGTAACTTGTAAGTTATAACCAAACCAAAGAAGCTGAGGCAAGCAATTTATTGTGTGTAACAGGTGGCCCAAAAGTACAAATGCCAGCCTATATGCAATCTGACTGTAATGGAGCATATCAGATTGTTACTCAGTTGTTCTTGCATGATCATTATGTGTCCTCCTCAGCAGCACTGCTACAATATCCCATCTTCCTCTTCATGAATTAGTCAACCATAGAAATTAGACTACTTTGGATAACATAACAGCAATGGCTAAGCTAGCTCAGCCAGGTCCTGTTATTTCTCTCCTGCTTCTGTTCTTCTTCTCGGGTATGGTAGAGATTCGTGGACTCTTAAGCTGCAAAGTTGTTTTTTTTTTCAACGACTCTATAGAGCATTCCACATTGTTGCAATTTCTTTCCCCCTTTTCTGCTCTCTCTACATTTTCACCTATGTTCATCCATGGCTTTTTTTTTTTTTTTTTTTTTTTTTGGGGGGGGGTTTTTGTTGTTGGGGAGTGGAGGGGAAAAATATAAAAAAAA